CTGCTGCGACTTGGCGACTTGCTCGATCACTTGTTGCAGCTCCTCCGGCGCCAGAGTTGCGCTGTGCTGGATGTACTGAGCAGCCGGCGGCGGCGGCGGCGGAGCGGGTATCTGCGGGAACTGCGGCGCTGGCTGCTGGGTTTCGAAGATGCGAGCCGCCTCGTTCTCTGTCACCTCGACCAGCTGCTGGCTGGCCAGCTGCTCCACAAGTTGCTGCTGCTCCTCCGGGGTTAAACCCGTCCCCTCTACGAAGCTGCCGTCCGGCTGGACGTATATGATCGTGCTGGTGGCTGGCGCAAGGGTGTCCACCAGCTCACCTGCCACGGCAGTGAAGTCAGTCGTGGTCACCGTCTCCACACCGGGAGTCTCGACGAACGACGTTATGATGCTGCCCCCGGGGAGCAGTCCGTCCCCGGCCGTAAATGCACTAACCACCTGGCAGGTGCCCCCGAGAACAGCACCCTCATGGACTCCCCCGCCAGCAGAGACGTGCAAGTACTCAGAAATGCCCGGAGTCTCCGCCAACTCTTTCACGCCGACTTCCACACAGTTGCTGCCCGGCCCGCTCTCGTCCCCGGCCTCCTGGGGCGCCAGGACCCCGCTCATCGCCTGTGTCACCCCGGCGACGACGTGGAACCGGGCCCCGCCGCTGCCGTCCCCCTCCGTAGCTCCCGTTGTCATGTTGCTCTCGTCCTCCTTGTCCGCCATTTTGGTTGGAGTATTCCCCCCCCCCCAGGCAGGAAGAGTTGATAGCAAAACAAACAAAAAAAAAATAACTCGGGACGGATTTTTTTCTTTTCCGCGCCGGAGTCGCGGAGGAGAATTTACGTGAAAAAAGAGAGTGGTGGATGGTGATTTTAATTGAAAATGTTACGAAAATTAGACTTTGTAACCTCGCATTCCGAAGCCTTTTATAAACGTCACGACAGCTCGCTACAGTAGTCGGGTATGGGCTCCTGCGAGGGTCATTTCGCAGACCCAGTCGGGAGACGAAGAGCTCCATGAAAATGCAATTAGCTGCGTACAGTATTTTTTCGAAACTACACTCTTTTCTTCCAAAGAACTAGTTACGAACGATAAAAAGGTCCGCGCCAACCAAAGACGGTGTTTCCAAACAAGTCAACCAGTTGGAGTATGTTTTTTTTAAAATAGATTTGTAATAATAGTTACAAGTTGGTACTGTAATACTTTACATAACACATGCAAAACAAATCATGGCACGGACTGTGAAAATCACGACACCTTACATTGATGCATACCATTGTCAATAAGTCATATGAAAGACGAGTTTTTCTGCGGTGTGATAAAAATAAATAGTATGCCTTGATTTTTTTTAACAAAATGGTACCGCCCAACGTGGGGCTCGAACCCACGACCCTGAGATTAAGAGTCTCATGCTCTACCGACTGAGCTAGCCGGGCTGTCTGGTGTTGGTAAGTTGGAACACACCTTTTAGACAATTTTAAAATTGTGTCAGATTGTATTGCAATTTATTGTAGAGCATTGGTTTCAACTTGTTAACTTTCCTTTGCCAGACGTATCTGATATGGGCCGTTCACTGATCGTAGGTCATAGCGTAAGACTTGGTTTTTTAAACTCCTGTAGCTAATTTAAAGTCAGAAATGCCTTGTATATATGGTACGTGTAAAAATAATCACAAAACGTTGTTAGTTTAAATGCATCTGATTCCGAATCCTGGCATGCGAAAATAAACCGAGAAAATGAAAGTAAAAAATTTAAAGTAAAACCCCCGTAAAAGGCGGCCGGTTAGCTCAGTTGGTTAGAGCGTGGTGCTAATAACGCCAAGGTCGCGGGTTCGATCCCCGTACGGGCCAAAGCTTTTGCTTTTAAAATATTACCTAATGTTATCATGCAATTACAATCAAAATGTTACTACTTTTTTTGCGTTTTAAACAATTATATTATTCTTTGAAACTGAGAGACCCCCATCCATAAAAATGACACATTACCGGGCTCGATAAAAAAACAATACATTTTGTTGCACAGCCTCTGATAGATGACCGTTTTCTCCTAAAATGTTCAACACGGGTATTAAAAATGAACCCAGAAAAATACTGTCCCTTAAGCACACTCAGAGTGTGAAAAATGTGTCGGACTTAAATACAACACGCAATTACATCGAGAAAGTATTAGGTTAAACCATAGAAAGCGTTCTTAATGTCATGTTATCTTTTTTTTATTTAAATTCCCGCAAAACGCGACCTGTCTACACAAGGCGGACCATCGCGGATTCGAACTCACAATCTTGTTGCAGCATGGCAAGAGGCTTAATAACCAACTCTGACACTTTCCTAATACCCGCCACAACAGTACAAAAAGACGCATAGTGCGTCACAGCGTGCAGAAGCAGGCATTTAGCAGCTCGCTGAAAGGGCTGCTCTGGCCGGGCGCGGTGGCGTGTGTCTGTCATCCCAGTTCCTGGGAGGCTGGGGCTGGCAGAGTGCTTGAGCTCAGGTCTCCTGGGGCGTGGCGGACACCTTCGTCGACCGGGTGTCCGCACTGAGCTCGGCATCGATATGGTGCTCCTGGGTGAGCCCGGGAATAGCAGGTCGCCTGAGGAGGGGCGAACCGGCCCAGGTCCGGAAACGGAGCAGGTCAGAACCCCCGTACCGCCCGGTAGGGGGTGGTCGCGCCTGTGGGTGTGTAATACTTCAGCGTTTTGTGTTCACGCACGTTTGCAATGCTGCCTCAGCGCCCTAATAGCACCCCTCTTTCAAAGTCATGCCTGTCACAATTACAGGCAACCAGGCCTGCCCAGCCCCTCTATACATGAACTTAAGGATGCTGGGTTGCTATCTGGTTAGGAACGAATAAACCACGACTGTGTCGAAGACACGTGTTCAAAGCCAGAGGTTAACGTAAATTCGAATTAAGATGTGTGACTTGCGTCGTTTCTAATTAATTTTACGGGTTATGTGGATGTTTAATTTAAAGCAACAACAACAACAACAAAAGGCTAGAGTTTGGCGATTAACTAGACGGTCCAGGATCTCCTAGTAAAATGAATGCGATGCAATACTTTGATCTGACGCAGGGGGGCGCAGACGATCAACTGTCCAGACTCGCACCTGTCCCACTGTTTTTTCTTAGACGTGCGCAAGATGGCAGCATAGCAGTGGAGGAGGCGCACCGGGTTTGACCACATGCTAAAATATTAAAAAAAAACAGCACTATTAAAACAATACTGCACCCCTTACTGCATTTCACTGCGGATGAAAAGGCCAAATGCAGATATTTATTTCGTATTTATTTTTTCTGGCCCTGTCATGTCGTTCGCTATAATAAAAGCCCCGGGGATGTTTAAAGCCTCAGAGTCCTTTTTCTACACCGTCGCTATCGGAAGGTGGCGCTGAGCTGGATTGTTCCCAAATGGAAGCATGTATTTAAAAAAAAAAAAACAGCATTTTTCCTGTCTGAAACTCTTGGTGCCGCGCCTTCCCCTATGAATATTGCGTGAGGCGGCGTGACGTCTGGGAGGGTCGGTCGGGGCGGCGAGGTAGGTGAGCGGCTGAGCCAGAGAGGTTATCCGGACTCGCCTGCTACCGTGTCAGGAGAGCGCGGCTCGGAGGTGCCACTCGTCGCGTCGCGTCGGAAGAGAGCAACAGCGCCCATAAACTTCGGCGGACCCCCCCAGCCGTGCGGCATCACCATCACCATGTTCAGCTGGGTAAACAAGGAGCAAGGCGGCAGGAATAAAGACGGGGAGATGTTCCAGACTGTCACCGAGGGGCTGCAGGCTCTCTACACCAAGAAGCTGCTGCCCCTGGAAGAGGCGTATCTCTTCCACGATTTCCACTCCCCGGCCCTGGAGCCGGCGGATTTCCAGAGCAAACCTATGGTGCTCCTCGTGGGCCAGTACTCCACGGGCAAAACCACCTTCATCAGGTAGGTAACCCTCTAGCAACAGTGACACCCCGGGAGATGGTGGTGACTTAGTGCGATGGAGGAATGAAAAAAAAAGAAAGAAAGAAGAACGTCGCTAATCGCTTTTTTGGCGACAGCTTTCCTGGGTTTGCCTCCCGTTGGTTTTCATCACAGGACGAGATTGCAGGATGTCGGTCCCGATCAATCTGATGCGCTGGAGGGGTGGGAGGCGAACACAGTCACACAACTCGTGCCTGTTTTTCTTTGATACAGTAAAATGTTATTCATATGATGCACACGCGTTTTTACTTGTGTAGTCGCACTCGGAGTGCAAGACAGACATTCTCGCTATTTGTACTGTTGACATCATTGTTGAGGAGTGTTTGGAGGAGGAGGGGGGTTGAGTGTGTGTGGAAAGAAAACGCATTTTAAAGCTTCTGTTCATACATGTGTGCGTTACTGTTCCGTATGCACTAGTGGCTCAATTGTGCCCACGTTCGGGTTGGTGAACCTCCTGGTTGCTATGACTGTGTCCGGAGCCTGGATAAACAGAAAACCGTCTGTCTCCGAGTTACAAACCGCACTGAAGCGGAGGTGCGCCTTCACCGTGTGTACGTTCAAGGTGAAACGCCAGCGTCTGAATTTTAGAAATATATAGGTGTATTCTTTTCGAGTCTTAACTGAAATGTACTTTTACCAGGGTCTGTGAACTTTTCATGCAGTGCTAAATTACCAGTACTTTTCCATCCTGGTTTCGCACCGTCACTCTGGATGAGTCAATATGGGAGGAGCGCTTAACAAAACCTTTGCAGTAATTGAACCGGATCTTAGCCAGTCCGCGTTTAGAATCTGTGCACGCGGAAGCCTTTCAGCGAACCTGATCTAAAATTAATCTACAGACACGAAGGTGTGGTGATGAGGTCTTGGGGGTGTTTTTTTTCCAGTAATCTTTGTTAAAGACGGCCCAGAGTAATAAGACTGCAGCATAATATACAATAATACATAAAATAATAAATACATATTTCATATTACAAGTTAAAAATGCAACAGATGAGTCCAGGAAGAAAAACAACAAGTTGCTGTGTTTGTTAATGCCTTTTGGTGTAACTATAAAATCTATGAATATATTGAGATATACATAAGTCTTAGAATCTGAGAATGGTGTTAAGAAACCATAGTTCAATTTATCTAACCAGCCTGTCTGTTTCATATATTTCTGGATATGCTCATCAACTTGAAAACGTAAAAAAACCCACTGAAACTGCTACCGACTGCTTGCATAAAATGTCAAATTGTCACTATTCCTGTGCTCTTTTTTTAGTGGGTGGTTTGCATTGACAGACTTAGAATCACATCCCTGTCCTCATAGAGTCACATCTGCCTTCAAAGATTGTTCATTGTGTTTTGCAATTCATTTCTCCTGCATCTTGCAGTTTTCTATTCTTGCATAAGATAAAACCACAGATGTCTGTTCGGAAAAACTCCCATTCAGCACCTGCTGGCATCATAATACTTTTCCACACTTCTCAAAGTGCCACAGTCACTGTCAAGTGCGTCCAAATGCCTGCTTGTACTCTTTTGCAGTCTGCGTGACATTATATAGTACATTCAGTCTTCCATTCCTACAGTCCATCCACCAAATCCAGGTGAAAACATTTTGCAAAGGGGTGCACAAAATCATGGCTGTTTGAATTCTCTGGCCTCTTTAGGGTGGAATTAAAAGAATTGGGGAAAAAAGGAAGTACGATAGTCTGTGTGAACCCCTTTCATACTGGTGATGAATTCAAACCTTTGAATTCTGATGTGAAAACGGAGTTGTTGTTTTTTATGGTTTTGTCTGCAATTGCCATTCCTTTCCCCGTAAGGTTTCTTCTTCGAGACTGCAAGACTTGTTTCCACACATGCCCCTGAAGTGTTTCAGATATTCAAAATGCAGAAAAAATGCAAAAGATTTTATAAAAAAAAAGAAAGATTTGTCTTTCTAAAAATAACAGCAGATAAGTGTTATGTTTAGAAATCTTTTTTGCATTCTCTCCCAACTATTGTTGTTGTTGTGAGAAGTGTTTATCAAGTCCTTCAACAACGGGTCGTTGGTGTCACAGGGTTATTGTTAGTGGAAGCAGAAAGGAAGTCACTGTCTTGTTGTGCAGACCAACAGGCACACTGGTGACACTTCTTCAGTGTCTATTCATAATAATATTTATTCTCCCGTGTGCGTCAGTTGTTAATTTCCTCTGTAAAGAAGGACAGAGGATTATCTTAACCTCTTAGTTTCTGAAACACCCCATCAGCCGGAAATGTGAACAGCAAGGAGACGTTTTTGTGGGAAAAGAAGAGGGTTTCGTTTGGAGGTGTTAAAAAAATAGATTTTTGCCCTTCCATTAAACTACAGCGTTCCAGTTTTTCTAAGTGACTTCATAGAATTCCGCCTGAGTGCTGTTTCCATTGCAGATACCTCCTGGAAGAGGATTTCCCGGGCATGCGTATCGGACCTGAGCCCACAACGGACTGTTTCATCGCGGTGATGCATGGGGAGAACGAGGGAATCATCCCAGGGAACGCTCTCGTCGTCGACCCCAAGAAACCCTTTCGGAAGCTCAACGCCTTCGGCAACGCCTTCCTCAACAGGTGAGCCAGGATGTGCCTCAAAAGTCTCACGTCCCACCCTCGGCGTCCGGACTCGTTCCTTGTGTGTAAACATCACGTGAGCCGTGCTTGGTCTCCGCTCAGCGGAATGGGTGTTTCTGTGAAAGGGCAGGGTGAGGTATGGCCCATTGTTCTCGCACGCGGGTTCACTTCTGATCAGTGTGGCTGTGAAGGCACTTCATTTAGTCCTTTGCTTCCATACCCGAGCATATACTGTGGTGGAATTAAGGCACATTGCCATCTCCTCAAAAAGGAATGTCCAGAATCCAGAGTTAGTTCTTGTCATCTGAAGTGTTTGAAGTCTCCTGCTTAGTTTTCCTGTCACACCAAGGGCATGTGAGAGCGGAGTCGAGCCACTTCCTGCTGAAGAGGAAGTACCCCGGCCACCTCACATGGGTGAAAAACGGCAATGGCTAACGCTGGCACAGAGCGCAAAGGCATTATTTTTATCTCTGTATAGATGTGATCTTTGTCTTGCCAGCATTTATATGTAAAGGAAGTGGCTGAGAAGTGACATGAAAAGCTGGCTCGGTGAGCTGAATTAGCCGGGGGAAAAAAGGGGGCCTTTTATATGGAGCGAAAAAATAGTATTCGCTGTGGCAGCGAGGAAGAGAGAGGGTCATGAATGAAAGGTCTAATAAAAAAGAGATCTGAAAAAATCCTGAAATGTGGTATTCAGAAAACAAACTGTACTTCCCTGCAACAACCAGGAATGAGAGTTTGCATGAGTTCTGAATTGTGCCAGGGAGGAGGGACCATCAAAGCTCAGGCGTTGTAAATGAGTTTGACACAGTGCGCAGTGATCCACACACAGCCTGTCACAAAGCCAAGAGCAGGCAAAAGAGTTAATGTGCAAAATGCTCCTTAGATTACAAGGTCATGTTTGAGCTGAATTATAGCCTGACCAAACGCAGTGCTTTGTACAGCCCCCACCTCTCAGTACATTGGTGGGGGGAGGAGGAAAGGTAAATAAAAGTTTAACATTTTACATCTTGGTATTTGTTTTTCTGTCAATTAATGGAACTCACTCTCAGTACATTGTGCAACAATACAGAATAACCTGTATATTTCTTATATTTATATAAGAATATATAAATATATATGATATATTTAATATATAATATGAATATGATATAACATGTAATATTATTATATATATCATTAAATGTATATAATATTTATATTGTATATTTGTATGTTTCTTGGCCAGTTCTGCTGTTTCCTGCCCTTTCTCAGTGGAATGCAATTGATAGTTTAAAAAAGACTGGCTCATGTTTAGCCTTATCTGAGCAGTCTTTTCCCTTGGTGATAACTAGTGAAGATTCTGTCAGAGCGCTGATCAGGGACAGCTAGGACCTCAACAGAACAATACAGAGAGAAAACCTGAGATAATTCAGAGATCAACAACAAAAACAGCAAAAGATCTAAGTTTGTTTTGTTAAATTACTGAAAAAGTCTTATCCACATGGTGGAAAATACATACTTGGGTTTTAAATTCATGTTCTGAAAGATTATGATCAGCACATAGACGACGCACTGAAAAGGAACCATTTCAAACAGTAAACCTAACAAATAAACAAAGGCTGTTATGTAAACTTGAAATATTGGCTGGAGAGAACTGTGGTCACAAGGTTGGTGGTGTATTTTGCAGGTCACATTATCTTGGGCACAGGAAACTGGGCTTCTGACTTGCCTGAAAAAGACCATCTCTTTTCTCTGACTACAGTACTGTAATTGTATTGACTGGAAGTGGGTCATTCTGTGCCAAACCAACCAAAATCCAGGAAAATCCCTGCTTCAGGATTTTGATTTTGCTCATAATTTGTGTGTTGGAAGACCAAGGTCAGGTATGAAACAAGGCCAGATACTTAAGCTCAGCGTTTTAAAATTTTCCGAGATGCTTGCATTCCAGCACGTGGACTAGTCATAGTTCGTTTTCTATTATTTGAGAGTTATTCGGAGGATTTAAACACAACATTTAAACCTCAGTAACAGTGTTTTTCTAGTACTGAAGGCAAGGTAGATCTGTACAATTAATTTTAAATAAGTACCAACATCAGACTGTCATATATAAGCTCACCAACAGTTGTGTTAACTTGTGTTAACCAGGACCTTTTAGCCTGTCGAGCACTTTTTTAATACTTTCGTCCTGAAGCCTTTTTGTGGGGTCATTAAATCAGACATTCAAGTAGGTACATTGTAGCTAGGCTATTCATGGAAACTCAGTAGAATTCTGAGCGCATAATAGCAACATGGAAATTATATCTCTTCCCCTTCAGAAGGGATGAGCACTTGACAATGGACAATCGGAGAGTTTTTTTTCCTGGAGCTACTGACGTTCTGAATATTTTTAGGTACTCACCATCACTCCAAAAGGAGATGCACTTTAACTGAGAGCGCTCTCCTAAAACAGGCAGGGGTATCACTGCAAGTCTTTTTATCTTTGAGCTCGAGTGTCTGGCCTTGTCACCTCTGATGTCCGCTGCTCATGAAAGGGAGGGTCCATACCAGAGCCCATCCAAGCAAACTGGGCTACAGTTCGTCCTGGTTTCCACAGCTGTAAGCAGACTGGGGAGTGTGTGACTCACCCCCCACCACACTCATGCAGCTGGTTATTCCCCATTTGTGCTGAGTGGACTGGAGCAACTAGGGTAAAGTACTCCTCTTGACAGCAGTGTCGCCCAGCCTGTGGGTTTTGAGTCCAGACGTTAACCCACTAGCTACACTGTGCTGTTCCCTTCCACTGCATGAGCAAAATCCGAAGGCAGGGTTCCTGATATGGAATAACCCAGGTCACCCTGAAATGAGCCAAATCCTGTTGGGCTGAAATAATTAAAAGTAGAATATGTGGGAGCTGGGGAGTCCAGGCAGTATAAGGGAATCTGGGAGGAAAAAAAGCAGTTTGCCTTTTTGCCCAAGCAGACACAGTTTTGCAGACAGGGTAATGAGGAAAGGCAGTACAAGGGTGATAAGGAACAAAAACACAAGGGCTCAAGGACAATGATGCCTTTTCCCTTTCCTGCCCCTTCCTGAAGGTTTTCAAGTGTCTTGTCTCTGATGCCAGGCCCCTCTCTGAGGACCCCAGTGGGCTATTGAAACCTGGTCCTACAGATGTGCTTATATTTAGCACAAACTCCTAAGCGTTACTTAGGTCACTCGGTTCTATTGTTTTACAGCCTTTTTTTCCCCCTAAATAATGGAGACTCCAGTCTGCGCTGCTGTAGATTCTCACACATCCGTTTTCCTCCCATAATTCCAGCTGCTCTCATTCCTGGCTCCATTTCCTGCACAGCGCCACACAGGCCCCCCACCCTGAGACCCTGCTCTCTGGAGCAGCTCCCGAGCTCCCGTGAAACTGGGTAGGACCTCTGAGTGTCTCAGAGCTCACAGTCTCCTGCAAGAGAACCGTGGTTCTTCCATGACAAGATGCTGCTCGCTTGCATCCCTTGTCGACCCTTGTCTTGCACGAGTCAGGGGAAGTGATGACATGGCATGCATGTAAGGAAGCTCTGTGGTGAAGATGTTCGTGCAGAAGATCTTTTCATCTCCTGCAGTAGAGGGGACCTGTTTTTTACTGGACAGGCCTTCAGTGGACCTTAAAATAATACAACCTTGCACAAAGGCAAAATCAACATGCTTTCGAGCTGCCTAAAACTACCTAAAATGTTTTTGTTTCTAATCAATAAGATGTGATTAAGTGATTTAAAGTACCAGATAAAAGTATAGTGCAGGACATTAGTCCTGTATGGGTAAACAAAAAGCTTAGAAGAGAAGGTGGGACCAAAACTCCAATTAAATTGGACACAGTCCTTTAATAAATTCCTTTCTTCACTCTTTTCTCATGAGCTGTACTCTTGTCAATGGATTTTTAAGAGATGTGCCAGTAAAACACATATTTGTAACATTGATAATTTCATGGTCAGGTTTGAAGAAAAAACCAGAACAGGAGGGTGAGCAAACACTGATGAAGCAGCACATGAAATTCAAAAATGTGAAGATAAAATTCAAAGCTGAGCAAACACCTGGGAGCTCACAGTAATGGAGACAAGCTCAAAACGTGACACGCAGACAGCTCAAAATTAAACTGTGGATGCAAAATAGGAAGTGATGAGCTTATCAAGAAATGTGTCGATTTCAAGACCAATAGATCTCTTCATTTTCATCCCCTGCTGCAAACTAGTGCTGACTGTCAGCTGATCTCCTGTGCTATGGTTGTCTCAACTGAGCAAATAAAGTCGCTATATGTCTGTTAGCTTTACTGGGTTATTCTGTCCAACTGGTCTGAAGCAGCTTCTTAAAGAAATCTTAGTTGTACCCGCCACCGTCCAACATCTCCAGATCTTTCACGATGTGCTCACTTTGCCTGAATGCCTGTCTGATGGGCTGGGCTGGTTTTCTTACGCTTTGCTGTGTGTTGCTGGAGAAAGGCCCAGCCCTGTCCGGTGTGCCAGGAATGACCCTGCTTCGTTCATGCCCGCAGGTTCATTTGCTCCCAGATGCCAAACCAAGTCCTGCAGAGCATCAGCATCATCGACAGCCCCGGGATCCTCTCTGGAGAGAAGCAGCGCATCAGTCGAGGTGAGCGAGGAGGGGGGATGGCTTAAGCTCTTGGCACTGTTTTTTTTTTCATCTTTTGCTCTTTAAATAACTTTGGATCGATAGATAAGACTTCATTGATCCCGAAGGGAAATTGAGGTGTTACAGCAGCCCAGCTCAAGACAGGCAAAAACAGACATCAGAATAGACGAAAAATTGAAATGAGTACAGCAAGACAAAATAAAATAGTTAGTCACTGTAAAACAATCAAATATGTACAAAATGTGCATAGGTATATACAGACTGAAAGTACCACAGTATAAAAAGTATTTTAATGCAGTTTCCAAAAAGAGCCTAAGAAGAATCTTTACATTTTTTTTTTGCATTTCTGGGCAACAGGTGGGGTGCTAGTCTTTTGTTAGAAGAGATCTATTGTTGGTGGAGGAAGTGAAACAGAATGAGGAAAGCAGCCGTTCAGCCTGTCTTGTTTGTAGTGAATTCACTAGTCAAAGCGTCGAATCCAAATCAAAAGGCTTGATTCTGCAACAAACCCGTAAGGCCTCATTGAGACGTCTGTGCACGCTTTTGGTCGCCACATTATAGGAAAGATGTTGTTGCTTTAGAATCGGCCCGTAGGAGAGCAACCAGATAAACTCCAGGACTTGCCCAAGTTTGTGCAGAGCAACTGCAGTGTCTCTCGCCCCTACTCCTTGTCCAGAAGGTTTCCAACTAGACAGAGGGACATACCTCAAAGGAGGCTGAGCTTGATCTTTAGGATGGCTTGTTTTCATGTGATAGTTTGTCAGATGTTTTAATTGTGTGATCTTCAGAGGAGTGTAGTGAGTGGGTTGTAGTAGTTTCTTGTTGTACTGCTGCTACATCAGAAGTAATCTAGCTGTTAATGTTGATTCCATAATATCACCCTGCCAGCTGGAAGCGAGAGAAAGTGTAGTATTGGAATATATAAAGTCAGCGCAACATAAGATATTCTGTATGATAACAATGTATGATAAATGTGATATCCTGTATGAGTAACGTCAAGCTGGCTTTAATTTTGTCAGAAGTTATACAAATATTTTTCAATGTTTTTTAGGTAATTAACTGACTTATTGTGTAAGATTTAGTCTCGAAAAGGGCAACTTTAGATAGGTTAAAGAACGGTATTGTTTTGTGTGTGTAAGTGTGTATGAGGGCTCTGCAGCTATGTCTGTGCCATATGCCTTATTTCAGAAAAGGGGAGAGGAACAGTTATTATGTTTCAGGGAACCTTAATTGAGTAATGCCGGTGAAAGCATTTCCTAAAATGATCTATATGTGGGCACCATGCAGAACAGTCAGCATTCTTGCATTAACTTTGAGCAAAAACAGAAGTGAAACAAAGCATGGATTAATAAATGCAATTTAACGGCAAAAGAGCATCTTTTTTTAATCAGTGATCTGGTTCCTCTTTCAAAATGCAGTCCTAGCATATTTGCAAAGAAGCATCAAAGCTTTAAAAATTCTGAAACCTCATATTGCAAAAGTGGAACACTTGAAGGCAGAGATGGGATATTTTTAGTGGGGCAGATTTTGTGCTGAGGTGTTTTCCATAGTCTCTTAGCTGGGAAGTTTCAGGCATTGAGGAAGGTGAAACTTTGGAAGCAGTCATTCACAAGTCAGAATTCTTATCCTTCACTGTCCTGGTGTTGTGCTCTACTTATTGTAAGACTCTGGGTTCAAATTCTGGGTAAGGTAATGCTGTTCCCTTGAGATAGGGCACTTCACCCCTATTGCTTTTGTAAAACACACATCTGTATAAATACGTACAACTATAAATCACTTTGGATACATTTCATCAGCCAATTAAATTTGCAATTAAACAGTTTTTAAGGTGTAATTGTTTAGAATTGTAGCTTCCCCTGTGATTTGTTATATAATATGTAGTCATTTATAATGTAATTTCAGTGAACAATCCTGGACTGTTCAACAATAATGCTCATTGGGATGGGTTTGGTTGCCATTATTTTAGTACATTGTACCAAAATTACAAAGGTGAAGCTGTTCCAAAATGTGTGGAACTTTGACATCTGTTAGTGAGGTTAAAGGTTTGATGACTAAAAGTAGCAAAGTTTTGTTCAGTTTCAAGAAAGAAAGGGAACTGGAAGGGGAAAGGAGAAGTCACCTTAATTTCTGTGGGTTTTTCACCATTTGAAAAATCATCTGTTCAGCAGTGAATTGTTTCCTTCTTAATCATAAGAAAGACTCTGTATCTCAGAGCTTTCTTATTCGGTTCACTCCTTTCCTTTTTATATATGAAGTGCGACAGGCAGAGACCGCAGAAGGAATAGATCAGTCAAAATGAATCTTGTTGCTAAGTATTATGACATCATGCCACAGGCTTGTACAATGAACTATGCTTTGAATCATCAGCTGGCGTCCCCAGTAGCACCCTCCCCATAGGAATCCAGAAATCAAGAGAAAACTGATCTTCTGTCTCATGGTCCATCTGTCCTACAGGACACCCCGACCTATTATTACTTTTATCATAGAAACATTTTACTTTTCTTACCTTGTGTGAACCGCCTCATTTCGTGACTTATTGCCATGCTGAACACATTTTCTCAGTACTTTTATGCTGGGCTCAAGCCTCTGCATCATGTTATTTTAAATTTCAGGCAGTATGCGTTTATTTTTCAAGCCAGGAGTTATTGTTGGGTTTATATATGAGCTTATAAAGTTGAAATCGGATGCATCTCATTGCAAAGCTAAACACCATTCTGGGAGTCCAGCTTCAGGAGGGGCTGCAATTACAACTGACTTGTCACTAGGGGCCGCCATACTGCTTCTACTTGTTGTAAATAGCCAACCGGGTGTCAAGTATTTTATTATTGAATTATTGGGTTTAGAATTGTACATTTTCACATGGGGTGTAATTGGGGGTTTGGTATACAATAGGTCCAAACAGTGCTAGTGTTTATTAATTGTATTTAATTAAATAAATGCAGGGTCTGTGATACCCATAGTGCAGTGTACTCTTATATTTTTAAAGGATATTCCCCTTCATTTTGGTATGATGAATGATGAGCAGATGCTGAACACCATCATTGAATGCTTTTGGAACAGTCATAACCTTGAAAGCTTAAATTAATGACAGGATAATTTCAGATACCAAATCGATGTATATTTATGTCTCCTGGAGGTTAGGAACCTGAGAGTCATCTTTACAGCTGAAGTATGTCTCGGATATGAACAAATGAATCAAGAGTTGGGTGCAATTATCTCATCTGCATTCTTTACACACTTGTATGTAAAGCAACACACATGGTTTTAATTTTAATGAAGTCGTGGATTAATTAAGATAAGAGATATTGAGCCTGTTTTGTTCCTCCCAGGTGTTTAATTTTGGTGGGGGAATGATATAGTAGTGGCAGGTTTTTGTGGTAACCGCACCTGGTCTGTGTTTCACTCAGCTTGTTTCACTGAATCGGCTCCTAAGCCGTTACAGGCTGAGCCCTGCACTAGTCGCTCTGCTGCCGAGGGGCGTGCGAGGGCTACCAGTGAGCGCCGAGAACAAGAGCTTCACTTCAGATGACGCACCGCAAGTGTGGAGCTTGGACAGCCGTTGAAGCCGGGAACCCCAAGCACAAACGCTCGAGGGAGAGGAGTGCCGATGGCCGTAGAGATTCCCACGGCGTTGAAAATGACAGGCTTCATTATTCCGACATGTGCTCTTTTCAGACTTTCCCTCCTGACGGCACCATGGTTAAGAAACACTGCCTCAGAACACACGGACTTGATGCGACTGGTTTCCGATGCACATGTATCCATAATGCCTATATTATTCTCTTATTAGCTTAAGGAAATCATGTGGGAAGCACTTGCAATTTGTTTAGCTTTTTTGGTTTTCAGCTGCTCTTCTTGCCTTTTATGTTAGGCGGGCCAGCTCATGTGAATCTTCTCTCTGATGTTTCTGGAGGAGTCAAAAACTATTCAGTATTCAAAGAACTGGATGGACTGCCTATGGTCTGGCACGCTTTCCAGAATATTGGTTAAAATGCTTTGAAATTATTGTTTCACTCAAATGTGTTCAGATGATATGCTGGCCCTTTCTTGCCTTAGTGCTTGATATGATATGAAGGCATGTGTACCGTATCTCAGAATTGGAACTTTATTCTGGTGTTCCTGCTAACGCACAGCCGAATTAAATATAACATAAGTTTGTTGTTTTTCTGCATTTTTCTGGACATTTAAATATTTAAGAGACTCATCATCATGAGCCTGGAAGTGAAAGCAATCATTAGAAATTTTGTAGCGTTGAAGTCGGGGTTGAGGGTTTTGTAATGGAAGAGTTTTATCTGCTGACACTGTGAAACAGCTGGCCCAGATCCCCATATGTATCCCCTGGCTAGGTGTAAACCATTGCACAGCAGAATGAGTGTGGTAATTACACTGTTTTATACAGAAAAGCCCTGTCATTGGGAAGGGAACCTCTTCCGTGTGTGAAAGAGAGCTGTGACATGCGAAGTCACGCGCAGACAGAATTCGACGTGTCTGGCAGAACGAGACTCGTGTTGCTGGCTCAGTGTGGAATGAATGAACAGGGTGACAATTTTGTCTCCCTCAAAGAAGCAAAAGTAAATGTTTTGTGGGACGGAATCTTTATTTTCCTATGACAAGCTCATTTTGATCTTCAAGTTATAAACGATTTTCTAAGTAAGTCCAGGGTGTGCTGAGAGTTATTGAAAATGCAACAAACGCAAATGTTTCCAGTAGGATTTTAATTTTTTTTTTAGTTTGGTATTTAAACTTTCTTTGCCCTGCTGCTGGTTCTGACTGCTCTAGTCACAGTCTATTTTTTATTTTTGCATGAGGGGAGCACATCACTGTTAAGCTCAAAAGACCAGACTGCTTTGATGTTCTTCATAACGGGTTGAGGAGTGGTGTGTACTCCCAGCGTGTTCTCTTATGAAAATCGCTTTGGAACAGAAGGTGTTTCAGTCTCTGGAGAGTAGTTCTAAGAGGTGGCATGACGTGGTGGCACAGTGGTTCAGGTCACTGCCTGGCAGTGCTGGGGCCCTGGTTTCAGTTCCGGACCTGTGGTGCTATCTGTGGGAGTTTCTGTTTGAGAATGTTCACTCCATGTTCTCAAGAGTCTTCTCCTGATGCTCGTGACATGCTGGTGGGAAAACTGGCCTGGTGTGAGTGTGTGTCTGCCCTGTGGTGGACTGGCGTCCAGTCCAGTGTGTACCCTGTCTGGTACTCGTTGCTTGCTGAGATAGGGTCACGGGGGAGCCGAAACCTGAGTTTATGAAGTCGTTAGGAAATGAGTGGTAGGAATATTATCTATGATAAAGCAGCATGGGACAGTCTATTAAGAGATATGAAAAAGAGAGATCACAAAAATCAATGCCAATTTTATTTAAGTAAAAGTACTTAAAATATGCCATCATCCTCCAGTTCACAGCTGGCAGCCCACTGCAGCTCAGCAGGTGTGAGCCTGGCCAGTACCTGGATGGGAGACGTCCTGGGAAATACTAAAGTTGCCGCTGAAAGAGGGACCAGTAGGGGGCGTGTGGTCTGTGTGAGTTCTAATGCCCCGTTGTAGTGACAGGGACACTATACTGTAATAAGGTGCCGTCCTTCAGAAGAGATGTAAAACCAAAGGTCCAGACTCTCCGTGGTCATTAAAAATCCCAGGGCATTTCTCGAAAAGAGCAGCAGTGTTAACACTCCTGGCCGAAGTCCTGGCCAAATTTCCCATTGGACGAAAGAGATCCTGCATGTTTTGAAGAACGAGCAGCGCTGTGACGAGATGTGTTTCGCCCCCCCCTCTCCGCAGGGTATAATTTCTCGGAGGTCCTGCGGTGGTTCGGCGAGAGGGTGGACCGCATCATCCTGCTCTTCGACGCCCACAAGCTGGACATCTCGGACGAGTTCTCGGAGGCCATCAAAGCCTTCCGCGGGCAGGACGACAAGATCCGCGTGGTGCTGAACAAGGCCGACCAGGTGGACACGCAGCAGCTGATGCGCGTCTACGGCGCCCTCATGTGGTCCCTGGGGAAGGTGATCAACACGCCCGAGGTGGTGCGGGTCTACCTGGGCTCCTACTGGGCCAAGCCCCTGCAGAACACCGAGAACCGCCGCCTGTTCGAGGCCGAGACGCAGGACCTCTTCCGCGACATCCAGAGCCTGCCGCGCAACGCTGCCCTGCGCAAGCTCAACGACCTCATCAAGCGGGCGAGGCTCGCCAAGGTAACCGGCCGCGCGGGCCGAGAGATCGGTGCCCCCTTTCTAACAGTTCCACCCCCCTGCTAGCATGCAAAGATGAGAGCTGTGCGCTCCCTTTTCTGCCGTAGTTTCTGCAGAGTTTGTTTTCTGCGGTGGAGGAGCTGAGCTTCCCGTCTCCTGCCACCGGTTTCTTAATTAGGACCTGTTGAGCAACAACCTTAAACAAAACCAGAGTCTGGTGGCAGCACGGCGTCTCTGGGCTGGATTCGCTAGGGCAGGCACTAGCTGTGTGCCGCTGACATGCTTGTGGGAGTTTATGACAAGCTCTTATCTCTGCACCAGTAGAACAGAAATGAGGTGTGGGGGGGGAGTGTTTTTTCGGAAGTCAAGTGTTTCATGCTGCTTCACTTATGTAGATCGTTTTGGCGAAACCTTGACACGTATTGACAACATGAAGCATTCTGGGGAATTTAAACATTTCAAAACAAGAGTGAGCTGCACCCGGAGAAAGATAACAGGCATAGCCTTACGATGTGCGAAAGCATACACGGACCCTGCTGGTTTTGTGTTCGTTAAGCTGTGTTGTTAAAAAGAACTGCGCTTTTTAGTGTTATTTTTGAGCTTCAGCTGCCAGGTAGACACTTCCCCTGCTTCTTCCCATCTCATTTGTTCCAAAAATGAAACATTCACAGACTTTTTTCCATAAGCCGAGTCCTTCTGGAGCCCTCGGCTGGATCGTTCTTATCTGTTCTGGAGTGTTTTTCAGGTCGGCCAGCAGCCAGGCGCTCGCCTGGTGTTTGTGCTGCTGTGGCCCGTCAGCGATAACCCAGCCTCGTGAGACAGCTGGCAGGCAGGGCTGCCAGGTCTCTGGGGCCCAGAGTGTAACTCTTTCTTGGACAGGAAAGGCAAAGATTTGACATTTTGGGCAGTGTTTGCTCTTGTTTCTCTCTGTTATTTCCCTTTCTTGCCTTAACCTAAACCTTTTCCAGCTGATCTCTTTTTGATTGTTGTGTTTACTCTGACTGCCTCCTGTTGCTTGCTGGTCATGTGACCCAGGTAATGGAGTAGACTGATTAGGATATCCTGGAAGGCTTTTTTTCCCCCAGAGATTTCAATAACTGTGAAACACATTTGTTTAAGCACAGAGCCCTTTCTATAGATGGAAGATATTACAGGATTACATCTTTTGGCAAGGAATCAAAAACAAACAAGAATATTTTCCCTTTATTACCTAGAATCTGGAACTAGGCCTAGAGCACCTAGAGCACCTATCCTAGTCAGAACTGACACGATCAGTTTGCAAGTAATGAAAAGAGCATGTGGGTGGGACATTTGCTAGTTGTAGGAAACGGGCAGCAGTGTTAGCACTGACTAGGACTCTGGACTTGGAACTGGAAGGTTGTGGGTGCAAGTCCTAGGTCAGCATCTGCTATTGCCCTTGTAACCTTGAGTCAGATACTTTACTAGGATTTCTTCCTACCTAGGTGCAAATGTGCATGCTTTGATGTGGATAGGACTGTCATCTCCATTTAATAATAAAATGCTGGGGTGAAACAGGCTTTGTAGCCTGTTAAAGGTTTCTGAAGCACAGTGCAATGGTAAAATGGTTTCCACACTCTTCTGCTAGCAGCTGTGGGGCTCACAGTATTGTCTGTGTGGGAGATTTGGCTTGACTCACCAGGTTGGTTCACCTTCCTGTTTCCTGCAGGTGCACGCTTACATCATCAGCCACCTGAAGAAGGAGATGCCGTCCCTCTTCGGCAAGGAGAATAAGAAAAAGGAGCTGATTAGCAAACTGCCAGAGATCTATGTCCAGCTGCAAAGGGAGTACCATATTTCTCCAGGGGACTTCCCCAATGTCATCAAAATGCAGGTTAGAGCTCTGCTCTCTGCCGTCTTTAGGAACTAGGGAGCTCAGGCATAAGTCTTGTATGAAGCAGACATGGAGTGGATGGAGTGAGGATACATCTCCAGCACACAGCTGCTTAAGGCTGGCTGACTGGCATCCTATAGGAAGTGTCCGTGATCTCATTTCCCAGATCAATTTGTGAGCTGTACCAGCTTGTAAGCTTAAACTGAAGTTTTCTTATTTCTAATAGAAGGGGGTCCAAACCACCATTGCACGCTGTGTAAAAACACATAACATAATTGCACAAGGTAAAAGGGTCTTGATTTCTCAAAGTCTCATGCAAAGTTTTAAACCCCCAACATAAGAAAACTGAAAAAAACATGATTTTTATATCATCTACAGGTCCAGAGTTTCTGTATCCGTGCTTCCAGTTTTAGTGAACATTTTAATTTCTAAATTGTCAGCTGCAAGCAATGGGAAATTACTGTTAAATGAGGAGGTACTACAAGTGATTGGGGAGTCCAGAGTGGTAAGAGTGACCCTAGAAATCAAAGTAAAATAATGATAAAAATTCTGTGACTTCAGTGAACCATCTGAAGTGTGGTCACCACTGCCATCTAGTGGCTGCTCAGAGTCATGCTCCTGTGGGTGAGAGCAGGATGGTTCTGGATGTTGGGTTAGTGCTGCTGCCTCACAGCTGTTCGGTCCCGAGTTCAACTTTATAGATTGGGGAACCTTCTGTGTGGAGTATGCATGTTCTTCCTGTATCTGTGTGGGGTCCCGGTTTCATCAACCTACCAAAGACGTGCGAGCTAAGTTAGGCTAGGTGGCGTCTCTCGATTGTGCTTGTGTTTGAATCTCACAATGGATGGTGTCCCATCCAGTCATACCTTACATCCTATTCTTCTGGGACAGGCTCTGGACTGCTGCAACCTTTCCCAGGAACAAGCAGCTGTCTGCTAACAGTGGGTCAGGAGGTGTTTCTGAATCTTGATTATGCTCTTGAAGTTTTCAGCACTGAAAGATGCAGCACAACTAAGCAAGAAATGATTTTGGGACTAGTCTTTGTAAAAACTAATGAATGAACAATATATGAATGAGCAATGATGGAAAAAAATAACTATAAATGGTTGTGAATGAAGGATCTCAAATCAGTTTAAAAGTTATAATTCTGTGCCTCTGTGTGTGTGTGTGTTGTTAACAGGAGCAGTTAGAGCACTACGACTTCAGCAAGTTTCCTTCTCTGAAGACCAAGCTGGTGGAGTCCGTCGACAAAATGCTGGCCAGTAAAATCTCGGGGCTGATGATGATGATCCGCGAGGAGGAGAGAAAGCAGCCCACGCAGGTCGTTAGCGGGGGGGCGTTCGAAGGCTCTCAGGACGGGCCGTTTGGACAGGGCTACGGGGAGGGGATAGGGGCGGGCGCCGACGCCGAGGACTGGATCGTCAGCCGTGACAAGCCCAAGTACGACGAGATCTTCTACACCCTCATGCCCATCAACGGCCGCATCTCTGGCATGAACGCCAAGAAGGAGATGATGAGCTCCAGGCTGCCCAACTCCGTCCTGGGCAAGATCTGGAAGCTGGCGGACTGCGACAAGGACGGCATGCTGGACGACGAGGAGTTTGCCCTGGCGCAGCACCTCATCAAGGTCAAACTGGAGGGCTATGAGCTGCCCAGCGAGCTGCCCAGCCACCTCGTGCCACCAGCTCACAGGAAGAGCTTGATGGTCGGCTCTCCCTTCAACCACGAGGAAGAATAAACAGGGCGTACCGAGAAGAGCCGGGGCTGACGTGCCACACAGCCCCCGAGCTCCCTGGGTCATTGGCGACCTGTGTAGGCGCTGAACTGTGAGTGCAAAACCGGAGTTCAGCTGCTAGGGGAAAAAACGAGAATAAAATTTAAATGGACAATGCTTCCAGGATTATCAAGAGTGCCGGCTCTATGGCTAGTGTATCATAGTATCATGCTTCCCGCTGGATTGCTGATACTAGGTGAAGCCTAGTGAGGCATTGATCTTCAAGCAACATCTGTGCTCTGGCTGTTGTCTGTAAAAGTCGTGTATAGTACCTCATTGTTAATATCCAGAGGTGGCGGTCAGGAGATAAAGAGAGAGATCGGCACAGAGTTCTACACGAACATTCCCAGAGAGCAAAGAAATACGTTTTTTAATTTACGTCATCTAAATGGGGTTTACGTTTAGTGAAATAGTGAAAGGATAACCTTGTCTATGGACAACCCCGGTCCTGGAGGGCTGGTGTGTTTGTGGGTTTTCTAGGTCTCTTTAAAGGAGCAACACCTGAAGAGTGCAGCCTCCAGGACCAGGACTGGACATCTCTGATCTAAGAAGATTTCTTTTTCACTTCAGTTTATTAGGTTGAACGTTTAGAGAATCATAAGCGTTGAGGCATTTGGATCACAGATTTTCTACAGCAAAAAAACACATTTTTTGTTCTGCTAAATATAAATCTTTTTTCATATTGTGGTTTGAGAATGTTTAAGGTCATGCAAAATGGCAGGTTTATGCTTCACATCTGGAAAAATGGAAAAACAAGTTAATTTAATTTTATTCTAATTATTCTACAAATTCCTGAAAACTGATGAAAACCTTTATGTTATTGCTAACGTTACCCTTATTTACCTGGAGGAATTTAAACACAGCAGCCATGGATTATTCAAAATATCCATGGATATCCACAGATATTCTACTAATCCGCAGTATTGTATTAATCATTGTTTCGTTGTCTATTAAACCTACAGTAAGATAGGGAAGCACATTTTGGAAAATTGTTTTTGTGATGGGCCGATGTTGAAATATGTTTCAGAAAGTGTCTACTGTCACATTTTACATCAAAGTATGGCAGTAGCTTTATTTTCACAATCTGGTATCCTGTTACCATTAACCCTGAGGAAAAAAACTTAAATGTTCATATAGAACTTCACAATTCTGGGAATTAGCAAAATTCTGCAGAAACCTTTAGGTCATCTTTAGGATGTTTTTGTAAAGTGAAGTTTGTCTATGGGATTTTGGGATGAACCACCCACCTGCCACTCAGCAGACAGGTTTGAAAATGGAAAGGAAGATCAGGACTGTAGACACACAGTGTGTAGAGCTTGTCTTCTCAGTTGAAGGGGGGCTGTGTTTTTTGTATCAGGAAAGAGGCCACACAGATACATAAAACTGACATAGCACTGTTCTTTCTGTCTTATTATGTGCAATAATAGTATAATTCTGAATATATCGAAAGGTGAAAATATACTCAATCTCACTGAAGAGAGAAAGGCAAAGGTGTCGTATCTTTCATAGCTAACCTGGTGTTCTTCAGGCTGTTTTTGTGTCAGTGTGTGTGAGCATACAATACTTATAAAGTTACTGTACATATGTACCAGAACACAGATAAAAACAAGCAATTCAAATGTATTTTTCGCTTTTTGTTTTTTAATTTATAGAATGTTTTATTATAAAAACAAGATCTAGACACCTGAGATTTTTGGGTATGTAATTGAGAACACCCATTTTAAGGGAGAAAATGTGATATACCTTATGTATTTTAAAAAAAAAGATTGTGCCTCAGAGGGTCCCATGATGCCTTGAATTGCAATCAACAACCCCAGGTCCTTGAATCATGATCTTGTAAAACCATCGTGTCCATTAAGTGACTTTTGGGACAATTCAAATCAGTGTGTCACTGCTTTATGAAGAAGGTAGACATTTTCATCCAAAAAGCACCCACTTCTTTTCTAGTTTGACCTTCAGCACAGTTATTGCATTAGGTTCAGTGGATGTAATCAATCTTGTGCCTTGTTTTTTTAATACCTTTTCTTTTCATAATTTAAACCAGGTCAAAGTAGTATGCACAGGAATTCTAGGTCTGTGGCAATCACCTTCAGTTAGTTAGTTATCACACGTACAGTATACTTTGTCTTCCCTGGGTGTCACTTTGGTCTTGCATTATTTACAAAAGTGGTCTGTAAAACCATTTTAGTCTGGACATTATTGTACATTGTTCCAGAATCTCTGGGGTGTGGATTTGTACAGCTCCTTCAGCTGTGAGTCTTGACATGTGGATTCTGTAACTGAGCACTGGTCAGAGTATAGGAAAATGCAGTCAAGACAACAGATCAGCAGACTTCCCACACCCCACTTCAGCGTCTTGTTACACACCCTATTCCTTGTTCCTTGGAATTCCTCACTGTGTTCAAATCATTTTCCTAGCTTCTAGTTGTTAAGAAAGGGGCCAGATGAATGTGATGTTACTGTTACAAAGTCTTGTTAATGCTCATTTGAAACTTAGAGAAATATTGTATAAAGTGTATATTTTTAGGAGAACAAAAAGGTGTGATATTTTAAGTTTATAATAATAAAGAGGTTCAAGACATTTTGGTCTTTGTTCCTTTTTTTTAATCTGGGGGAAACTTTTCTCCTGTACAGTAACCTATCAAAAGTGTGCAATGGAACAGCGCTGTCGAGTTCTCGTCCTGGAGAGGCTGGTGATTCAGCGAGTTTTCTAGGTCTCTTGAACTCAACAGCACCTGAACAGCTGGGAGAGGCTGTTGGATTGGTCTGTTTAAGCCAGTAACGAGCTCATCAAGAGTTGAGCTGGAATGGAGATGTGCAGACACCGCAGGACTGGACAGCTCTGCACGAGAATACGGTCTGAAGAATTATGAAATGAGAGTTCAGTTAATAATGCTGGCAAAAGAGGAAGTATTTCTGAAATTGCTGTTGATGAGTATAAGTGCAACTACATGACATTGCGAATTGCAGAGAAGGTGGAAATGAAAATGCTTGTGTTTGCATGAGGGTTTAATTGGCTCCCGTGTTCCAATTGCCTTTGCAGGTAAAGACAATTTCAGACCCGGCGTTAGCCATTAAATGTCCAAAGCTTCTGATCCTGGTTCATGAGTATAAGAGCATGCCTACCAGTAAACATCAACGTATTAGCCAAACGCAGCCTGCTTTCTAGTGAAGCACGCTGTTGCTTTCCAGTGTTCCCCTGTAATTTCCAGGACATCTCTTGACTAGCACAACAGAGCTAGTCTTGCTTGCTCTACTGTGGCTTTTATCTTGATGTCCGACTTGGGTAAAAAATCAAGTTATCATTGAAAGACTGGTGTAGGACAAAATACCCACAACAGATTTGTTATTGTTTAGTGGAGAGCTATAGTACTAGAGAATCGCAGTTTGTCTCCTTACAGAGACATTGTTCTCCCTGCAAAGCGATGACATCGATGATGCATACAGGCTATTCTCTTGACATGCTGGAGCTCCCTGAGTATGTATGCCATTTAGCCCTGACACTAAATTGTCACATGTTATATACAGGCAAAGTGCAATTCTGGCTTGTTATTTATTACATCTTCTTTGGTGCGTCGCTGATTTCAGCACGTACAGTATGCCAAAAAGTGTATTGAGATCTGCCCAGCATGACAGCCATTCCTGTAACCTTTAACCAGACTGTCATGTAAGCGCTGTCAGGTGAGGAGGGGGTGGGCACTAGCTGTTAAAGCCTTTCCCATGATTGCTCTCAAAGGTCGCTCTTCCTCTCCCCTGGAGTTGATTTGGACTGCTCTCTGGAACAGGTCTTGGAGGAAACTCCAAGGTGAAACAGAAAGAGATGAAAGGGAGACACGTTTAGACAAGTTCATGAAGGGATTGTTTCAGATTTGCATGCCGGGTGCTAAACGAGCTTTGAAGGACAGGTTTCTTTGAAAGTAAGGTAAGCAATCATATTCTTCTTTGCTTCAATGCCTTGATCTGTGGGATACATCGTGGGTCCATCAAGAATTAACATAAGAAACAGAATGAAATGGAAGTCTGTGTTGATGTCGGGTTGACTTTTATGCAGCTCACACAGTGGTAACCAAGAAGTGCTGTTACATTCTGATCTAGCCGTTGAGTTTATTGGTGACAAATCCCGCTTAAAAGAAAAGGTAGGATGCCTATGGCCTCTGTGGGATTTCGTTGGTATTATTAAGGCATGGGAAGAGCGAGTATTGGGAATTAGTGAAGGTGCCATTCCAAAATGGGATCAAGACTGCAGGTGGTTTAATGTGCAATTTGCTGGGGTGTCTCAGAGGGATGATTTGATTGTTAAAGCTCCACTGTTATGCCATAGGAAACAGATATATCTACTACACCCTCAGCTATAGCAAAAAACAAACCAGTAGAGGGAAACAGAACCTGTGATTAAAGGTTTTTCTGCATTTTTGATGCAAATTATTTTTCTTTGCATACAGCAATGCTCTCGGAGCTTTGCAATGTTCAGTGTGTAACAGGGATACATTAAAATCTCAGAGAGTGGTCTCATAGATCAAAGACATTTTAAGCTTTTCTGAAATCTAGGATGCAAGACGGGTCTCTTATCCATCAGTGGAATTTTCTTAATGCTTCACCACCACAACCACCATGAGAAGCCTAAAATGTATATTATCCACCTGTACAAGAAACCAGTGTGTCTCACTAGGCTAGAAACGTCTGCAGCTGTGTGATGTTTCAGCAAACATGCCCTTGAATGCTATTTGGTGTAATTTCCCATGGTCCTAGATTCAGATCTTACAGTACACAGAAACCTTTCCAATTTTATTCTTTGCATTCTTCATATTTAACATTTTTGTGGATTTCAGGGCTGGGTTACCAGCAGCACACTTCTCTAATTAAACCAGTGAAGCAGTATTGTCTGGCTCATCTCACACATTGCGTAGCACTGCTAAACTGTCTTTCAGGTTAGGGTTGTTGAAGGAATATTTTCAGCCTTTTTAAAAAAAAAAAATAGATACCAATATTATTACATTAACACACCCATATTAAAAATCCATAAACAGTCAATAGCCCTTCAAATGGTGTAGCTTCCATCCTACGAGTAGTATCTGTTGCACCGGAAATATATTTGATAGCTGATCATATAATTTAAATAAATTAGAAGCTGTTGGCAAGAAGCATCATTCATTGAGATTCCATATAAATGTGTCCACTGTACAGTTCAAACTCAGTCATCAGTCTGAATGCCCTGTGGTTGTCTGCCAGACCGCTAACACTGTAGATTCCTACAGCTAATTAACATTACTGATAAAGTAACCCAGTTACTCATTAACAACCACAGCAAGGAATGCCACTGCATTCCCCGAATAAGGTTATAAAGGCAGTTTTATATTCAGGGAGGGTACCTTGTTCTTCAATGGCATGTGAAAACGCTGATAAGGCTGACATCATGATGACGTCACCATGTTGTAAAAGAGTGGGGAAGGTTCGCTGGCTCTTGCTGGGAAGCTGTAAAGACAGATGGGAAAGTGGAAAAGAGACATCATTCTCCGACCCTCCCCCCCCCCGAAGGATCCAGTTACCAAACAGCTGTGCTGAAGAATCCCCCCTGCCAAGATCTGTCACCGGGCTTTGGATCAGATTCCCAGATGTGCAGTGAGCCCTGAACTTTAAACAAGAGGATTCTCTCTGTTAGTATTCAAAGTGACTTCATCTCCACTGACTGGATACAAGTTTGTTCAACACAAATGAAAAATTGCTCTGTTGATAGAGGCCTTAAACAGTAATACATTCATATACTGTAACAAGTTCAAAACCCCACATAACAATAAGGAGAGGTGATACTGTATTTCATGTCAACTCGCTCTTTGCTCTTCCAGTTTCTAACAGCTCCTTGATGGAGTGTTTTCACTTTCCATCGGAGATAAAAGCCACCTGCTCAATCAGACAGGCAGCATTCCTGATTCTCCCTGAATCCTGCCTGTATCTGGCTCTGGGCTCTGCTGTCCTCAGAGTCCCTGCCAGTTTCTCTCCTGTGGTACAGCAGCGTCACCAGTGTCTGATTCCAGAGGGCAGTCAGCTTCACCAGGACCCGAGAGACCAGAACAGCACATTAACCCCCCTCCCGACGGCTGACACACAAACACGTTTCCTGACCCATTTCTAAGACCCGATCAGCCAAGCACACCTCATTTAGACTCGCAACGCAAAAATCTTCCTGACGCTTGAATCACATGAACGACCGAGCACACCTCATTCAGATAACCAAGACACAGCCTTCCACACTGCATGTTAGTGATGACAACCTAGACCACAGGAGTAGGAACACAGCATTATGCTTATGTATTCAAGTGGGGACCCTGCATCATCTCCAAAGGAACAAGTAGAATTTAACTTCAACTGGAGATTAAAGTAGAATTTAAAAAAAAATTCTGAACCCCTATGATACACTTGAAGAATGCTCAACAACCAGAAAGTTTTTTTTCTGCTTTTCAGCATGGAAGTCACCTCTGCTTGTATATTTTTCATGTGCCGCCCCAGTGTGAAAATGAGTGTTGCTTTTAAGCAACAGTTTAATTTATATACATACATTGCAGGTGTAATTGGTGTAAATAGAATTGTTAATATCTGCTGTTGGTTGTTTGAACTTAGTTGTCAGTAAAGTCAAAACTTGGCTTTAAAACACACAATCTGACAGAGAACTGCAACACCCACCAGAATATTAACTGCCGTATTTCAACATAAGAACATTTGGAAGCCTGAACTGGAAAATAACTAGGGCTGTACAGTAGAGTGAACTAGTACAGATGTTAACAGAGATATAAACCCTCTCTCCCACAAAGCAGCAGGCTGAAACATGCACAGCAAAGATGATACAAAGGAAGGCAAACAAACTGATTTGTAGGGAAATTATTGAATAATTATTTCACATTCAAGAATCAGCCTGTGGCCCAGAAGAAAATCTCTACAGACATGATGAGAAGAGTTTAACTGAGTGAGAATAGGCATTCAGTTTTAGAGAGCCAGGCACAATGATTTGCAAATTCTTTGTCAACTCAGAAAAACAATGTTATAGAATGTGGTAGCAACATTACAGATTTAAGCCAGCTCTAGAAATGAATTGCTCATATGTACTGTACAAAACATCAGAAGTCAAAATACTTTTATACTTGATTCACTGAATTTCT